ATGTATTAATCCATCCATTTATCTAACCATCCATCCATTTATTCATCCATGTATTCATTCATGCATGCATCCATCTATCAATTCATGTATTCATCCAGCCATCTATTCATCCATCCATCTGTATATCCATCTATCCATTTACCCATCCATCATTCATCCATCTTTGGGCCATGTACCCAAAAGTTTCCTCTCCTCCAGCCAAATCTAAAAGCTCCCAGTCTATCAGCTGATAGCACTGACTTCCTGCAGAAGTTCCTAGCCACTACTTTCATAAACTGACTAATCTGAGCTTCCAGTTTACACTAGCCTACTAAACCTCTAGGCCACTTTCTTAATCAAGCAGACATTGATTGATTTTTTTGTAAGGTCAATAAGCAAAAAGAGTGAAGGCATTCTTAGCCATTGGCACTTCCTGCTCTCTTGAAGAAACTGATTACCCTTGGCTGAGACATGGGATCCAGAGGGGATAGGGCAGGGATGAAAAGTTTTACGGGGAGAGATCACGAACTGGGAAAGTTTGGGTATGTGTGGAAGGCAAGCTTTAATCAGGGGAAGAAGGAAACCCAAAAGACAACAACACCCTTGAAAACAAACTCAGCTGCATATTTTCAGAGTGGATCTACTGTTTTGAGTACACAAGGACTTGGTCAAACCCAACCATTAGCTATGTCCTAATGGGCACATACAGCCAGGAACAGAGGAGAATTGAGCTGAGGCCACAGCGCCTTCCCACATGCGGACTCTTGTTTGCCTTCCAGTGTTGGGAAACTCTCATTGGCCAGGACATCTACCGTCTCCTTCTGATGGATTTTGTGTTCTCTTTAGCCGATTCCTTCCTGGGAGAGTTTCTGAGGAGGTAAATATTTGTCGTTCTTAAGTAATTAGTGCCCGATGCTGTAACCAGAACCTGATTCCTGGCTGAGTGGGACGTACAGGTCCCTGACATACTCAAAGCGTGCATTGTTCCAAGTCTGCCTGTTGTCCTTGGGGATACTGTTCACTTCTAAATTAGCTAAAATTTCACCTTAACCTGACAGTTCTGTTGTCATAGTTCACTTGGTTCAGTTGACCTTTTACAACCTTTTGAAAACAAATTCTAGAAATAAAAGACAGAAACTGAGCCATCTGAAATCTTATCCAGCCGAGGGCAGTGGCTCACGCCTATAATCCCAGCACTTTGGGAGACCGAGGCAGGAGGATCACTTGAGGCCAGGAGTTTAAGACTAGCCTGGGCAAAATAGGGAGATTCTGTCTCAAAAAAAAAGAAGAAGAAGAAGAAGAAGAAGGCAAAGAAAGAAAAGAAGAAAAAAGAAATCTGGGCCGGGTGCGGTGGCTCAAGCCTGTAATCCCAGCACTTTGGGAGGCCGAGACGGGCGAATCACAAGGTCAGGAGATCAAAACCATCCTGGCTAACACAGTGAAACCCTGTCTCTACTAAAAAAACAAAAAAATACAAAAAACTAGCCGGGCGAGGTGGCAGGCACCTGTAGTCCCAGCTACTCGGGAGGCTGAGGCAGGAGAATGGCGTAAACCCAGGAGG